TATCACAAATTCCCAAGCCATGAATGTTGTTTGCCATGATCGTGTTTGAACTGTTATTTATAGGCAGAAAAAACTGTATTTTTAAAACCCTTTTCTAAACAAAGTTTTCTATCTCAAAGTTTTCATTTTTCATTGTAAACCATTCATAAGGCTTTTATCAATTGTTACACTCCCAAAACTCCCCAGTTGTGTCCTATCAAAGGTGGAGAAATAATATACAGCTTCTCACTGTATAAAATACTATAAACAATATATAATGAGAAAACAGTTATTAAATGGATCTAGTTCAGCTGCTCCCAAGCCACTCATCAGGGAAAAAAAAAGTATTTTCCAAAAATGTTTTTAAATCTTGTTTTTCCCCCTTCACCTATTTTTAGTATAGCACATTTCATTACTGCATGGCAGGATAAATAATCCATTTCTGGTCCACAAGTTCCTAGATCTAATTCTTAGACCTGGAATGACACTCAGGAGCTAGATTGCCATAATGGCTCAGAAGGGACATTGTGACCCAGTCATCTCTTGCATATCTCATGGTACATAAAAAAGTATCTACCTTACTTGAGAGGTCCCCAAGTAATTTTTATCCCTCCTTTCCTGTCAACTATTGAATTAAGGTTGTGGGGAAGACTGGAGGGGACCAGTGCCAGATAGCTGGTGATACAAGGGTAGGTCCCCTACTGATGGTTCAGCCCCATAGCAGGGGAACGGGAAGGTGAAGTAGGAGGAGGAACCTCACTCATGATCTAGGGCATCGGGGTGACCGAGATGGGTCCTAGTATGGAGGACAAGCTTACAGCATCCAATTCTGGCTGTGCTTCCCAAGGGCAAAGGGTAATTATCTCACACAAGCTGTTTAGTCTTCTACTTATCTACAGCGTACTGGCCCTATCTTTTGATTCCTTGGGAGGTTTCTCTTCATCAGCAGGGCTTTCAGCTCATTTCTTCGAAGCCTGTTTTCTAAAATATTACAAATGTGCCTTGCAGAAGTTCAAAGACCATCTCCTTTGACAGTTCAAAGACCATCCCCTTTGCTTTCATCTGTTCCATATTGTACTGTAGCTTCAAACTATCCAATGAATAACTTCATATTGCAATTTCTACATTACTCTATTCAGTAAAGTGCAGGTTTTAAGTTCAAAATATTAACATAAAGAAACGCAATTCGCTGTGATCTCTACATCTATTACCTGGGAATGCCACAAGTTAGGAAGATCAGATCTGCCACCTCAGAGTCCATTATTTCCCCTCAATTGCCTTGTCTGCAGCTATGCCCGGAGTCCGAATCTCATAGGAAGGAGTCAAAACTCTGCCATAAAGAGATCTCATCCTGCTATCTATCATCTAGAAAATAGTCTGAGCTCTCAAGCCTGAGATTTAGCATCCCAAAAGTGTGTGATACTGAATAACAAGTTTTGCCCTTTCCTCATTCACTCTTTCCCAAAGTGGGGTGTGCCTGGGGTGATGCAAACCGATGACACTGAATGATGAAAGAGTTAACATCGGGAGCAATGTGGTAGAGGAAAACCAGTGGAGAGGCACAGTTATCTGGAGCAGATGACTTCAAAGCAGTCTGAGCAGTGACTGATGATGAAGTAACGGTGATAAGAAACACGCTTCCTCACGTGCTCTCTCACTGCAGCAATCTGGAGGCATTGCAGCTGAGCATCACACCTCTGGCAGCATCCCTGCACATCTGTAGCATCCATTGAGAAGCAGTAAACAGCATCAGTCAGCTGGAAAGACTCCTTTCCTCCACCTCCCTGAACCCCTGCAGCAAATTTGTCCCAAGCTCAAAAGGGAAAAAATACTGGTGTGTACTTTCCAAGCATCTTAGAGCTGCCCGCATCTGTATTCACTATTATTTAATATGTCAACATTTAATATTACTAGTTAATGTTCTGCTGACTGAAAAATAAGCAGCATGATAAATTCTCTGAAATTAGCTTCTCTGAGGAGGAGGGACCAAAAGATTCAGAAAAAGGGGAAGCCGTGCAGGACAGCACGCATTCAGTCCTCTTTTCAAAAGCTTCCTTCCCAAAACGAGAATTGCTGGAGAATGCCTCCTTCCTTCCCCCCGCAGATCTCTTCCTTCCTTGAACCAAACTACAGGCTCTAGCAACAAGGCAGCTAATAATAAACTCTTCAGCTGAACTCTAGGAAAGCAGTTTGGTCAAGGCTTTGCCTGCCAAGTGCTGACCAACACATGTTCCCAGCTGCCAGCAGTGACTCACCGCAAGCCATGTTTTTTACAAACCAGTCGTGCTTTAGCCATCTCCCCCTCGGAGCACGTTTTGCTCCAAACAAAGCCTCCCACTTCCAAATGATGGAGTCAAAGGCACTTGACTCACGGTCCTCCTACCATATCTCATGTCAGCGGGGCATCCAGGGACTACTCTTGGTCAGAAAATATTACACAACTGCTCTTACACTGTGGCTCCTGAAACAAAACACCCATTGCTGCTGTTGTTGCTTCCCACTCCAGCAGGCTGTACACAAGCAGCGCTGGGATTCCTACAGTGCCAGCCAGCAGACAGGACCGGGCTCCATTCAAAATGACATTTTATCATGGGTTTATATAACAAAACTTGCTTCTCGCCTTGGGCTTCCCCCATATTGCCTTCTCTTACCAGTGAGGACACGGAGCAAAGAGGGACCACCAGCTGGGACGGCAGGCGTACCATTTCCTACTGCTCAGGTGGGAGCCTGAACTACTTGGCTGCACGTCGGCCCCAAGAGCAACCTCTGGTCCTTCGCTGGAAATGCTGACCTATCCGGCCAGGGAATTTGGGGTTTTATTTAAAAGATGTGCACATCACCTTCCTGAGCTAAGAAGTCTGATGCCCGGTGAAGCCGACAGCGCTGCTGAAGGCACGTGTCTCCCACTCCCTCCAGAGGTTGCTCAGAGGCTGCCTGGAAATGCAGTGATGACTGTAGAAATGGGAACGCACCAAGTCGGGTTTTCTGAGGGAGGGGAAATAACCCCTTTAGAAGCCACAAAAGCATAAGCACTTGCAGGGAAACAGCACATATGCTGGTGCAGGGAAGTATGGAAACCAGCCCAGCTCCTCCTTGTGCTGCCCCAAGATGCTAGGAAAGATGAGGAAGAGGGTATGGGAGGATGTTTGGGATCAAAAATGGTATGGATAAAGGGGGCTTCTTGGATCACAACACTACTGAACTATACAACTCTCACCAGTGCTAATGCTATGGCTTCATGACCCCATTCCTCCTTTAGCTGAGGCTCTTCTTCTGTGCTGCAGACATCTGGGACACCTCCCTGACCGCAACGATGTTGTTTCCATGAAGGAGAAGTCGGTTATGGTTGTTTCCTAAGGGGTTTCCTTTTGTGGTGAAACCTCCTCCTCCTGCCACTGCCAGACTGCTGGCCCTTTCCTCCCTCCCCAGTGCCCCACTACGTGCAACAGCGCAAGCATTTCGGGAAGTGCTCAGATAGACCTTGCACTTCTAAGGGCAAAAATGACTCACAAATTAACATGTAAAAACCCCACCATGTCACAACAGTGCACTTACTATTGGGATAGGAAGGATAGTGGGGTACCCGCTCCTTGCTAAAACCTTTCACAGTTCATTGCAAGAGCATGCTGACCAGGGATAGCCAGGCAGTGGGCAACACAGAGGGAAGCTATTGTTCTAGGTGTAAATGAATCCTAATATTTTTCACTCAGCTGGAGGTGACAGAAAGGAAGAGTTAACATTTCTTCCCATTTCTCAAGATATTTTTTTTTCTTTTTTGCTATTACAGGGCCTAATCCAGAGAAAAAAAAAAAAGAAAAAAAAAGGTAGGAAAAAACCCTATGCGCAGCCTTATGGTAGGACTTTCCAAGCCACAGATGCTGGCTCTGTGGTTGGCTGATCTATCCAAAATAAAGCTCAACAGCAGGGAGCGGTGGAGTAGTTCAAGGGGTAGAGGAGGTCATGCGAATGTGATCCCCACCTCCCAAACGCCGCATCTCCTTACGCTGCCTCCCCCCGCTCCTTTTGGGATAGAGGGAATTGTTGACTTATTTTTGATTTTCAGTCTGCTTTTCCTATCCGTTTGCCAAGTGGGGTTGTTGAAAGTGACTCTTGTTGCAGCCACTTTCCCAGGAGAGAAAAAACAAGGTGAACTTTTATCCCAACGGCTTACAGTTGAAAAGGCAGCTAGCAGCTTGGATGATGACCTCCCTTGGTTGCTCCAATACAGAGCTGGCCCTGGGAGGCATTACCTCCCCATGGCCAGAGGGACAGGAGTCAGACTGCCCTGGGAAAAGCTGTCGGCTGCAGAGACTGAAACATTTCCCTGGGAGAAAGAGAACACAACAGCCGTGAAGAGAGGAGCCACAAAGGCTGCTGACGCCTGCGCAGAGATGCCTGGCACCACCTTCTTCATGTGAGAAGGCTGGTTTCAGTGAACAAGCATCAAGAAAAGGAAAGAAAATGGAAAAAAGGAAAGAAAGTGACCAAGTGTTCTAATTGTTTTTGACATCAGAATGCATTTATACCATATACTTTTACTTCTTTTTTGAGAGGAGTCCACAGTATATGTCCTGGCTCAGCTGCCAATACAACTTCCATGAACGTGTGGGAGGTCCCATGCCACCACCTTCGGGAACACCACCAAACCTCGCTGCACATCAGTCTGTGGGCTGAAGGAGAGCCCTGCTGGGCAGAGGACACGCAAGAGGCATAGACCCTTTTTTACAGCCAGTACATTCATTTTTGTTCAGGTGTTGGCTTCATTTTCATGACACTAATGATCAAATAATGAAATCAACCAGTTCTTGTTTCCAATTAGGGCTATTTCTGAAGCATTATGTTTGCCAAGAAAATAAACCAAGTCTAAAAATCACACTTTCCTGTGGGCAGATATAGAGTCAGGTGGGTAACGGGACTGCACCTACACATTTTGATGCTGCCAGCAAAGAGGTTTTCATAGCAAGTGTTTCACTTACCCTAAGCACTACGCATAGTGAGCTGAAAGACCTGCTGCCACTTACCAAACCTTTTGTAGCCAAAGGACTGCACCTCCTCCTCCTCTGCAAAATCGTCTGGAGAAAGAAAGAAAGACACAGCAACAGGTTATTACTACTACCACTGGAAAAAGATGGGAAGAAATTTTTATAGGTGCACGTTCATAAATTATTGTACTTGGAAGTTTAATCAATTTTTAAGGCATGTTACTGATCTTCCCCTCCACTGCTCATATCCCACATCTGTCCTTGGGTAGAAAAGGCAGTTCAGAGTCGTTCCCCCAACCAGTATTCCCAGCAGAAATACAGACTGTAAATGGTTTATCACCTGGCAGCTATCCTAAGGTCCACTTGGCTGCCTAAGTATAGACCAGAGCAGACCCGTCCCTCATCATGATGACGGCCCCAATCGTCACCAGAGTGCCATGTGGGCAGGCTCGCCTGGACCACAGCACTTGCTCCAGCCCATTGCCTGCACCGTTGAGACAGACAGGCTCAGGTTATACATCCACCGGCCAGGCCGTTTGACAAAGCACTATGTGTAGTTATGCCGAGTAACAAGAGAGGAGTCAGAGGGGATGGCTGTCCATCCATCCACCACCTCCCGTGGGCACTACCTTGGACTGAAGAGGCAAGATCCGATAAAAAATGGGAAACAGAACTGACAAGCTCCAATAGATGAGAAAAATAAAAAAACATTTAAGCCCTTTTGTTCTCATCTTCACCAGCTAGTAAGCCGTAAAATGCTAATAATCACATTTTTATTTTGTCGGAAGCTTGATTTCTCCCCACTTCCTTCCAGCAGCAAAGGAAAAGGCTGGCATCAGCAGAAGAAATACACCCACGACTTCTTTTTAAAAAAAAAAAAATTAAAAAAAGGATATGTTTGTGTTGGTGTGTTCAGCCTCCTTCTACCCACACAACCCCTCTTTCTGCTGAGTTGGGAAGGCGAGAGCCCTGCCTTACCACCAGCACCAGCCTCTGCAGCAGGCAACCGACTGCCGGGCAGGGCAGCACAGCCCAGGCTGCTCATCTCCTGCTTCCCTATTTCATAGAATAGAATCATAGAATCATAGAATCGTCTAGGTTGGAAGGGACCTTAAAGATCATCTAGTCCAACCATCAACCTAACTCTGACAAAAAATAAATAAGAAAAGCAATAAAAAAAATCACTAAACCATATTCTTGAGGACCATGTCAACCCGTCTTTTGAACACCTCCAGGGATGGTGCCTCAACCACTTCCCTGGGCAGCCTATTCCAATGCTGGATAACCATATTTCCTGGGGGGAGCTGAGGAGATCCATTCCCCGTCCTGCACACACCATTTCAGGTGGTGGGTAAGCCTCTGTGGGGCTCTCTTTAAACAGGACCTAGAACACAGCATCCCAAGAAGGAAGCCTGCCTCCATGCTGCAAAAACCACCATCGAGGAGTGGTGGCAATCCCTGCTCTCCAAAACCTGTCTACTCCTGGGCTTTGGTTTGCATCATAAGGAGGCAGACTCAGCACACTGGGGAGCTTCAGTGGCTGCTCACCACCTTGTGCCACCCTTCCAGCACGGGATGCTGAGGAAGCTCACTCACATGCAGCCTCTCCATCCAGACCTTTCCCTGGCATGAAAGGAGAAGGAAACAGAAGCTCCATGGCCAGTCAAGGGGTTCACCAGAAGGGAACATTTAATGAGCAATGGTGGAAAACCAGGCTTAAAGCAGAAAAAAACAGGCATGATGGAGTGAGAGGTCTGTGCTCGGTTAGACCTCTGTTGTCCACAGACTTATTGCACGTGAGCAGGCTGCTCTGCATCATGAAACTGGGCTACCTGGTGCTGCAGCTAACTCAGGCCACAAGAGAGCCTTGGAGGGTTAAATTCAAAGATGAAGCAAAGATACGGTCCTCATTCAGGCTCAACAAAGTCTAAATCATTTGAGTGTACATCCAGCCACAGATGTGACCTGCACCTCCTTCCGATCTGCAAGATGCCATGTGCTGAAGTCTGAGGGAGCAGCAAAGGAGTCTGTGAAATGCACCATTTTGCAGAACATCTTCCTTCACTCAGACAGCACTTTTAACAGAACAGCTCAAAACTCATATTCTTCACCGGGTACCAGCTATTTTGCTCACTGCCAGAGGCGCTCCTGTCCATATCTTAAGCTAGACCCCCAATTCAGAGGTGCATTTAAGAAATGGAAGAATCAGTGGACGCTCCTTGGGCAAAACAAACACATCCTGCTTTTGAAGGCAGAAAGAATCCTTTAAAAAAAAAAACCAAGCAAACCCTCACAATTGTACCAAATGTTATCTAACAACAAGGTCACCCAACAAAACATGACCAATACTAATAAACCATAAACAGTTGACAACCAAGCTTCTCATCCCAGCAGCCAACAGCTCAGGAAAAAATCTTCCCTCCTTGCACAAAAGATAAAAGCTGCACAAAAAAAAAAGATATCAGCTCCAGAGCCCTCTGCTTCCTGCCCTCTCCTGCTATCAGGGCCACAACACAATTGCCTCCTTTGTTTCTCAGGAGCATAACCTGGGTTATCCAATCCATATCTGATGTACGCAGCCAGGATGTGTTTAAATGCTGTGGCTTCATCCTAGGCCACATCTCCAAGACCTTCCTCCAGGGCTGCCAGCCTCTTCCCTCATCGTTTGGTGTTTCACGCTTAGCCCAACGGCACTGCCCTCTGGCCACACATTTATAATAATTTCTGTTTCTCTGGATTTTTTAGTATTTGCAATGTATGTATATGTTTTGTAGACATACACTGTATATATATTTATATACACATTTGTATACTTAAAATATATTTAAACATATTTGCAACACTGTGTGCTGTGTTTGCTAGGGACGAATTATTTTTCCAAGTTTTTAATAATTTCTAATTATTCATTAATTTCCTAATTTTGAAGAGGATTTTTAGCATTTGAAACAAAGAGGTGGAGATGGGAAGGACAGTTTTGTCAAAAGGTGACCTGCCTCCCTGCTCACTAAAATCTACAATATCAGCTAAACCCTTTTTAAAGTTTTTTTTAATGTTTACTAGCAACAGGCAGTGATGTATTTTAGGACAAGTCTATTAAAATTGATTAACAGACTAAGCTCAGTGGTCTTTGAGTCACAGCTGCCACTAGGCACTTCACTCAAATCATGTGTACATATAATATTTTACAATATTAACTGTAATGTAACTGTAAATTTTGAGGAAAATAAAGATGGGAGGAATAAATGAATAAAACAAAGTTAGCCCGAATGTTCAGAAATGAACAGCACTGTAACCCTTAGAAAAAAGAGACTAGGATGGGTTGAAAGTCCTACTTTAAAAGAAATATCTTTGAAATATTAAAAATGAAGTTGAATAAGAGGCCTATACATTTAAGTCCTGAGGCAAAGCCATGTGCCCCAGGCTGCTCCTCCCAAGCCTTTCGGGCAGGATTGCGCTCACCAGAATCTTGGCTCTCAGCTACCTGTTCCAGTACTGAAAATATCCAAATTTTGTCACAAGTGTTTAAAAAATCTTAAAACTTCGTGTTATCTCTGAATGAGGGAAATACAAGAGAACCAAGGTTTTCATTGAAAAGGGAATAGCTTTTCTAGAGAAAACTATGAAAATGTGATCTGTGATGAATTACAGAGGTTAAGAAAATACACACCAAGTAGGAAAGCAAATAGTAAGAAAACCTCCAGCATGTTTTTGTGCCTTATGCTTTTAAGCAGTATCAGAAATCAGACTGGAAGAAATTAATCAGTTTTGAGCACTGGTGGCTGATATTACAAGAGGAAATTTTGCACTTTTACATCAGTATTGCCCATACACTTGAGTGGGGCTGCAACTGGTGCAAGAGGGTTTTGTTTGACATCATGAAAGCCGTAAGTTAGAAATATTTTACTTTAGTTTAAATCCAGCCTTTCTCAGTTACAAAGCGGACTGGAATGAGTGCAGTATTTACATTACATACAAATACATTTATATATAGGAAAGGTTTATTTTCCTGGGTGAAAAATATGAATGGCATACTTCTCCTTGAAGCGGACAATAAAGCAGAACACATTGTTATGTCCCAGCCAAAATAATGAACTCTTTAGTGCTGGAAAGATGAGCCATAATTTAGTTATAAACTGATCTACTGAGCTCTCAGCTGTGAGCCACAAGAGAGGGAATGCAGAATATAAGATGAAGAAACATGAAAAGCCAGTTAAAATTTGATTTCTTATTCCACAGACTTCTACTGAGCTCTGGCAGAAGGAAGGTCCATAAAAAAGGTGAACTTTTGGGCAGAACAGAAACACATGTGAGCAACCAATTGCATTTAACCGCGTAGGGAAAGGACCACCGGAGATCTCCTGTTTCATCAGGTTTACAAGAGTCTCCTTGGAGGCTACAACACATTGTCACGCAGAGCTTACAGCAAACCACTAAAAATGAGTGGCTAGCTATAGCAGAGCAGCAGTATCCCAAATATTTTAGAGTCAGTACAAAGCAAGAACTCTGGTCCAAAAAAAAAAACCAACCAACCCAGGCTTTGAGGTATTTTGGCAATATCCACACCCCACCAAGTACCAACGCCAAATTCTGCTTGCCCTCCAGTTATAAATTATTACTGCAACACCTCTAATAAATACAGTTGTAGAGTTAAATAAGTTACAGTACAATGCTTCAAGGGACTGGAAATTATAAAAAGGCAGTTCAGCTGGGGATTAACACAGCGAACAGAGGGAATTCATTTAATCTAAAACAAATTAGACTCTCATTTGATTAATTTGCTAGAGGCAAAGCAAAAATCTGTGGAGTAGAACTGTGTAATTTCTAGTTCTGGTTCTTAAATCTTAAATAAATTAATCATGGACCACTTACGAGTCACGCGGAGGTCAAGTAAGAAAAAGCTGGCCTGAAGCCAAAAAGGATGCCAAATCTGCCCCAGGACTATGTAGGGTCTGTAGCCACTGCACTGCTCGGTCCCTTCGCTGGAACACCACCAGATCTGAGGAGCCTTTGGTACAAGGTGATTTTAGGGAGAGTGTTTCCATTTTCTTCCCTTCCTTTTGGGGGCATCACTGTTGCCATAGGGAAGGTGT